TTTAGTGAAAAATTGGGGATTTTATGGTGGGAACATGAGGAAATTGGAAATAGTTATCTATTTAATACTTAAAATTGAAATATCTGATTTTTGAAAAGTGAAACTTCCCATCTGGTTTTGGAAAAGTGAAGTTGAAAGAAGGGTTTTGTGTAATTACCACTTAAAGAAGATCAACGATTCGTGGGCCCAGCTCATTTGGGCCTTTTGAAGCAAACAAATAATTCCGAGGGTATTATCGGAAACTTAGCAATTAATGGAGTCAAGGTAGGGCCAGCTCAATTGCATTTGTCCATTTCTTCTCGAATTTAAAGTCACAAGCCACGTGGCCCCACAAAGACTTTACACGTGGCAATGCCATATATATTACCCCGCAGGCCCAAAATTTATAGAATAGAATAAGATAAGGTACCGATATTTACATCCACATTTTTTATATATTCATCCCTCTATATCCATCACTATTAAAATTTAAAAATTAATGTTTCATTTACGTCAAATTTCAATATTGTCCTTATTAAATTCATTTATTTAAACATTATAAATCCACACAAATTTTATATATTTATCTCACTTTAAATACATGCCTAATACAATTCTAAAATTTTAAAAAATTATTATATTCATCAAATCACTATCAACATCTAATTACTTTTCCTTTTCTAAATTGTCGTGTCAGTGCTTTAATATTTCGCTGCAAATGTTAGCGAATCTCTTTTCTTGAATATATTAGATTCTCTCTAGAGTATACTGTTCACGCAACCAAAAAAAATCTCTCTTCAAATCATATGTTAATTAATTTTATTTTTTTTTGCTTATAAGCTAATAATTTTGGCTGTTTGTGTTTTTGTTGATAATTTTAAATTTGTTTCCTTTCTATAATGTAAGAATATTTGGATAGGTATTGAAACTTATTTTGAAATTTGTCGTATACTTTCATCTGTCAAACTAATTCTTAAAACAAAACATAAAAGATAAGATTTCATTTTCCATATCATTAAAGAATTATAACTAAAATAAGGTGTTGATTTTTTGTTTTTTTTTTTTTTTAAATTTTAGTTGAAGAGGGTATTTTTTGATTAGAAGGGTTTTATGATTTTAGTTGAAGATTATATTTTATCATTACTAGAATTCTAGTTAAATACAAATTCTAAAAGAATATCAAAAGGTTCAAAAGAATTTATTTAAATAAAAATTAATTGATGAATTTAGAACGATATATTTTTATTTAATTTTCTATACGTCTATTTATGTAAATTTACATAAAATTAAAAACTGTGGAGGTAAATAGTGGTACCCAAAAATAATACTAGTACTGAAGTACATTTATGTGAACTCGCTAGTATGAAATTTGGCTGTAACAATGAAAGATTAAATCATGTGTTCATGAATTATGCATCCACAGATTTAAGAAAAAATAATAAACGAACCATTGAATGTTATATTCCGACTGCATCAAGAAGCTCCGAGTGTTGAGACACAGAAACTAGTGAATTAGCCACAATGGCACCACTGGCAGCAACGGCAGGGACACCGATGCCAGGAAATGTTGAATCGCCGCAGCAATAGAATTGTGCGATTGGAGTTGAATGTCCAGGAAACGAGTCTTTACCCGCTTTTATAGCAGGACCATAAGTTCCTCGATTCCTTCGAAGAAATCTTTGATGCGTCAATGGTGTCCCGACTAACTTGACCTCACACTTGCCACGGTCGAAACCTGGACCAAGTGCACGCTCTACAGCCTTCCACATTACCTGTTGTTAACAGGAATTAAAGAACGTTTTTAATTCAAAAGAAATGTATGGAGTAAAAGTATAAGATCGTCTCGGAATACTTGTACTATATAGTATAGTATAGTCTATTACTGTATGCCAAACGTTCCCCGTGGTAATGAGGATTAGATACCACTGCACGGAGTAAAAGAAGAACATGCTCTAAATTATAAATGATTGAAATAGTACAGCCAAATAAACTAACTAGAAAGCTTTTATTTAGAAAACATTACCATAGAATCGAACCGAATTTCAACCATGAAAGCTGGTCAGGGTGACAAATCAAAATGAACAGTCATAAGAATACCTCGGATCGTTGAGCCTTGAGTTCCTTGTACTCGTTACTTCTGCGGTCAAGTCCTTCCCAAAGTTCAAACGGTTCAGTTCCTGGTGTATAGGCGTGTAAGACATGTTTCCCAGGTGGAGCAAGATCAGGACTTAGCACACTTGGTACGGATATTAAAACGACATTCTGATCAGCATCGACTCCTCTCTCCCAATCATTTACAACTATATGATGGATTCCAAGGTCTTCACGTATACCCTAATCATCGAATCATTTTGTCAAGACTTAAGAGTATAGATTCTAAGAACTAAACCAGCGGCAATAAACTTGCCATTGAGGTAGAGAAGCTGGATAATTCATAAACAATACAGGCAAAACATGCAGAAATATTTATCCAGCAATCATGCTACATGTACGTCTTGTTTTGCATCATTTTTTATGTGTCACGTGTCAACGCATGATTGGATAATTTTTTTTTTTAAAAACACACTTTCCCGCCCAACAATTCTTGAATTCCCACACAATGTCAAAAAAGATGTACACCATGGAATATACACTTAAAACAATTCTTTATCCAGTGACACATTAATGAAAGGTGAGAAACACGTGCAAACATATATTTTTTATTAATAGATAGAAAAATTATCTAACCATTTTTGACATACCTCAGCATCAAAACCCAAATGTAGGTGCATAAATGATTCACATTGGGGAGTCCTCTTAATCCTGTCCTGATAAGACTTCGGAACAACTTCCTTAGGCAATAAACTCAACGTGTCCCACATAGATGCATTGCTGACAACAGCTTTTTTAGCGCGCACAAACTGCAGTAAATAATTTTCTTCCCATTTTCAGTTAAGAAGCAAAATTATACATTTATAAGAATCTCGGCATAGATAGAAGCTGTTTCTATTTTATTGACTCACTTGTCCACCTCTTAGCCTCACTCCTATAGCTCGACCATCTTCAACAACAATATTCTCTACATGGCTTCTGAGAGAGAGACGACCACCAAACTTCTGTAGACCTCGCACAAGAGCATCAACAACTGCCCCACTGCCACGAAGAGGGTATTCCAAGCAGCAACCAGGTTTGTACCATTCTGAAAACATGTATATCTGAAAATACAGGAGCTTAGTCATACCAGTCTTTAGGAGAGAGAGAGATATAAGATTGGGTATGATGTGATTTCAAGTCAGCCGGAGGAAAACAGAATATGGAATCAAAAATTTACTCGCTTAAACAAATTTAGACATTTTCAGCCAAATGCTCAAATTATCTGATAAGCTCCAAGTTAATATGAAATCATGAAAGTCCAATTCAATCAATCTTAAGCAAGCATAAAGGAAGAGATTGCATAACAAACTGGAAATTTCAAAAAGCACTTGTCAGGTTTACAAAAAATGGTTACCATTTCTGCAGCAAGTACACCATCTGATTTCACTCCTGCAAGCAAAAATGACAGAAGATCCACCCAATTTCGTATAAAAGGATCTTTTAGCTCTAAGGAGTCAATGATCTCTAAGAAAGGCCTAAGAAGCTTAGTAGCACTAAGGGCTCCCTGAGGTCCCATTTGAGCAAAAGATTTCAAGAGAGAGGGTGCATATCTAGCACCTGCAGTCGAAAGAACACCCCAGTCACCTCGGATAGACAGAGGGGGTAGGGCCATTGCAGCTGCAGCTAATGGAAGTATTGCATCCTGCGGAAGACATACGTTTTATATTCAATTAGCAGATACACATGCATGAAAACAGATGAGTAAAAATATATCGAATCTTCATGCATGAAGTCCAATATGTTCAAGACATCCCATTCAAACATTTGCAAAATGAATTTCATATAATGGATACATACAGATACAATCTTAAAAGAAAATAAAAGATACCCACAAGAAGTTTTCTCCATTCTTGCACTGCATTTTTACCTGCATACTTCTCAAGATCCTGAAGAATAATTCAAGTAAATAATTAGTACCTTCCTTTAGTTGAGATTAAAATGACATAATAAAATATTTATTTGATCATCAATAATGATACAAGTGCATCTGAGTTTTTAGGTAATGTATACACATCTAGTCACAAAAGCAACTACATTTATGCACTTCATTTCATAAGTATTGTTCGCCAATAATAGGTCCAAATAAGACTATTCTTATATGCTTTTCAAAATCATTAGGTTACGACATATATAGATGCTATCATATCATACTCCAACCATTAGCTTTAGATCTCAACAGATCTAGAAATGAAAAGGGCATAACAGCAAAGAAAGATTCATTTAGCTGATCTCATTCATTGCACAATGGCAACTGTCACTTTGTCAAGACATACAACTCACAACTGGAATGCAGAATGCTTGCAAAGAATAGGGGATACTGTTTGCAATTACAAACATGAGAAGAGAGTGGAGAATGAAATTTTACCTTGAAAAATTCAGTTGGGCCAATGCGTGACAAGAATTCACCTTCAGGTATGTATACCATCCATGAATCATAGGTTGCACAGGGAAGTGATTCGCCCAATGCATCAAGAACCTGCAAATCATTCAAGAATGGTGAAATTTCTATTACTTGCATATAACCATCATAATTCAAATTATGAGATTTTCATCCACTATGTATCATTTAAGGAAAATATTTGATAGCCAAGATATGGCGATTCTAGTCACCTAAGTGAATAAATGCATGCTTGAAATGGGTAATAAGAAACAAAAAAATTCCACCAAATATTTTTATTATCGATGACAAAAATTCACGGAAGTTATAACTTTCTCATTCTTTCATGAATAGAAACTGTTCGTAAGATTTTACTCGTGATTCCAATACGATGCCAACTGCCAAGTGTTGATTTGGGCAAACTGTGGTCTACAACTACAATCCTTTCTTTTGTTAGACCCAGATTTGATTGTTTAAGTCTTCATTCTCTTCCCGACTTTGTTCTGCTACAAAAAGTATAGCATAATATGAACTGTCTCCATTCATACATGCAAAATTTCGAAATAATACTACATGAATTCCATCAAAAGGTTCTTGATTAGGCATGATAATCCTTTCATGTTTAACAAAGAAGATTAAGGCCTTAATACCATTCTTGAATTCTATTCATCATATTTACAAGTTAATCAGATGAACCAAAATATACACATTTGATTACTTGTGCAAGAGGATTGGCCTGAGGACCTCTTGATTGAAACCCAGAGAACAAAGAGGGGCCAGAATCAAACTTGTAGCCTTTAATCTCGAAAGAATGAGCAGCACCCCCAGGCAGATCATGGCTTTCCAATACCAAAACATCTTGCTTGTATCTAGCCAGAAGTCCTGCACAGCACAATCCTCCAATGCCACTCCCTATAACAATAACATCTGCCTCTGGCTTGCCTGCACATCATACTGCAGTCACATTAAAATGTTCCTCAGAGTTAGACCCCATTCATCTTGCAAGGTAAATTCTACTTCTAACCTCAACCACGGGCAACAATCTATCAGATATCAGTGTCTAAAATTCTCCCTAACTATAAAACATGTAATTAAACCTTGGAAGGGCTTGTTTTGAGTAACTGTTGTAGAAGGATAGCCATTGGAGTAAGGCTCAGAGCCGTTGCTGGAACTTCGCGGCAAAAGCGTCCGGCTTCTGCATTTCGAGTTAAAAGTGGAATGGGGTCGTCGGAGTTGAATAAAGCCAGGCGTGAAACTAATACTGCTACTCCCTAACGCCATGGATGAATTTCACCACAAAGGCGCAAACTACTGTATATTGTGTGTGCGTGTGTGTGTGTCTCTAAGTTAGAGATATGATACTGATTTTGTATCTTCGAGTGCGAGATGATTAATGACGTGGCGCCTGTTAAACGCGGGATTCAATATGTGGCGGAGGTTTTTCTTTTCTTTTACGCTAAATTCCAATACCAAAGCAAAAAACAATCCGAATTTACAAATATTTTCGTAACTTTTGTTTTCACTTATTGTACATTAGAAAACAATCACCCATTTCTGTTATGTTATAACACCAATTTAGGTGGCATGATGTAATAAAAACAATGAAATATACAATTAAGTATGTCATTTAATTGTACCAATTATTCAATATCATGTTAGTATTATCAAACTGATATTTCAACACCAATGATCAGGGACGGATGTAGAACTTTAATGTTGGGGGTACAATCGAACTTGTAAAGAAATTGGGAAAAATTTTACAATCGAAAATTTACGTCTAAAAAAATCATACCCCATGTAATTTTGCATTCGAAAATTTACATGGGATATAACTTTTTCGAATGTAAAATTTCGAAAATGTTTGATGTTATATTTCATATAAAACTTCCTAATAAAATGATTTGAGAAATTTGTATCGCAATAATAATAAATATATATATTTTTTAAATAAGAGTTAGACGTCTTTCTTTAAAACTCACGTTTAACGCATTTTTAACTATTTTCGATATCTGTTTGGATTATTCGATATGCCTATAATATAGTTCTCGAAATAAGTTTTGAGATGACATAAGTAATTTGTAAATTCGATTAGCATACGATCGTCGAAATTTTTTTAAAATTAGTATGTTATCGAAATTTTTGAAATACTAATTTTGAACGGCTTACTTTGACAAGTCGTAGCATTTGCTACAATTGATCTTTTCGTATGCCATTAAAGACGTAGAAAACTAGACCGTGAACACTTTGAAATGGTATTAAGAATGCAATATTTCGCCTTTATTTGATGGAGAGCTAAGATTTTGTTAAAATACGAGAGAAAAATTAAAATTTATTGTGATTTTGCCCATATTTGATGGAGATTAAAATCAAATTTTTAGTAAATTTTGATAAAAGTTAAATAGTTATGGATTCCATGAAATATGTTATTAAAATTAATTATTAACTTTGATTTAAATTAAAATTAAAATTTTAATCGATACCAAACGTGATTTTATAAAAAAAAAAACTCAAAAGTTGGGGGGAGGGTCCGCCCATGCTAATGATGCTAAATAACATTGCTGATTTAGCCCTTGTTTGCGCCACATTATTTTTTTCATTCTCATTCTTCTACTAATTTTCAACCACACATTTTTCAATAAAATAATATTTTCCATCACATCAATAATCTTTCCTTCTTTTTCAACCATATATTTACCATCACATCGAACAAAAAAATACATTCTTGAACAAATAATGTGCACCAAACTGGGGCTTAGTATTACCGTGAGTAGTAACAGTTGAAGGAAGAGTTGAAGGAAGGGTGTAAAAGTCAGAATCATGAATAATAATATCATTAACGATCAATAAAATTATAAGAAATCAAATTAAGTACATTCTTGTGGGAGTCAATCGAGATTGTTCATTTATACTTTACAACAAAATTTTTAATTAATTTATTTTTATTTTTTAATTCTAGTGGTGGGTTCTTGTGACTGGAAAGGATGAAAAAAAAATTTGTTTATAGTTCGTTGCCGATGAAATATTTGCTAGTCATTCATTGTTAAACATCAAAATCTTGCAATTGTTAAGTTCAATTTAGTGCACAGTGATCATGAAATTCTAAAACAATCGAACCATTATTAGTTTGTATGAGCTACTCATGTCTCGCCTCTTTGCTAAAATGCGTCTCTCGTGTGAGACGTGCATCCATAACTCACTTGATATGTGAGTCGAGTCGGTAATCGACTCACCTCACTTAATACCCCTAATCACATAGGCATATTTGGAAATGGTATGACGACACAAAGCATTGCATAATTTGGATAGTATTTAATTCTTGATCCAATTATACAGTTCACTGCTCATGTTGTAACGACCCGACATCTGTACCAAAATCGTTAACTTACGTACTATTCGCGCTAGAAGAGCCAAACCTATCTTACTCGTGCATTCCTGTCGCTTCCACATAATTCAAATCCAGGAACTTTCCCTTAAGAGATATTTAAGTTGAATATGAGGATGCGATAGAAATCCATGAGGACACAGAAGCCGGGTCGTCACACATATGCTTATGACCAGATTTTCCATGTGAATGAGACTGAAATAAAAGCACAGAAACATTTTTACAAAAAGAAATCTAAGACGAGAAAATAAACAAATTTAACACATTAAACCATTAACCATAGACAGCTCGTTCTACAAGCATCCACACCAACATCAGCATTGTCAAAACGAAACTCAAATCCCACATCTCTAATACCATTTTCTTTGTACTCCCAGGCACATGAATTTCGAGCTCTAATCTTAGACAAACACCATTATGGGTACCCCTGGAGCTATACAAGTACTTTCACCAATCCACACAGCAGACTGCTTAGACAAACACATAAGCAGTAACTAGGCCGTGCATGTACATGTCATGCCAGATTTTAATATACAGTTCAGCAAATATAAACCGTCTGTCTAAGAAGCTAGATATTTAGATGACCAGCCGAGTCAATGGCAAGAACGGAGTATCCATAGTCCTGCCAATGAGTAAAACCACCGATGAAAATGGTGTTGTAATATGCGACTATAATCACATCATCACTTCTTTGGTCCTATTCCTAGGGTAGTCAACCCACTTAGCAGAACATATATAGTGGCATCCAAGGCATTTAGCTAGAACTGAAGCCTTCTACATTCTTCTGGAGTAAGATTTGTCCGACTCCTCCAACCTTGCTCCCAAAGGATATTCTCACTTGCAAGAGAGAAAACCAGCTATCAAATGGATGCTTCAATATTATAATCGACCAAGGGTTCCACTGCAAAAGCATCTAGTGAGATCGTTGCTCAGATTATTGCAAAATAAGGTAGTCAAAAGCACTTTTTCAAGATCCTTAGCTTCATTATAAGTACCAAAACAAGAACATAGAATTATTTTATTGCAGAAACAATAAACGAATAAACATATAATTCTCACAAAGCCTCTCAATGGGACAGCTCCAATCCCCACTGATCACCAGGTCCAATTCGGACCCATCCAGACCTAACCTAATTACACATACCAATTACCTCATTCGATAAACTACAAATGCTAGTGTCCATTATAGAATGGACCAAAATTATGTTCCTACCAAAAGATGTGCAAGAAGATAATTAACAAAGAGTGAAGAGCTCACCGTAAGTAACAAAACTATGAACCAGAACCGGACTTTTGGACCCACACTTGTTTCTGTAATTAAACAGAATAATTGGATAAGGGCACCAAAAATAGCAAAGGTGTAAACTTGTTGACCGTCAGAAGTTTAGAATGCATACCTCGTGGGAACCATGGACAGAGGAGCCTCCTCTTTTCAAGGGTTTGCTCTCCACGAGGGAAGAGCCATCTGCATCCTTGACATCATGCAGTGATCCACGGCGACCACAACGCCTGTAAGAAACTATACTAATTCACAAGACATCAGTATGCAAAGTATGCAGATTAACAATAATAAATCACAAAATGCTCCAGGCAAAACTAACCACCGTCAACAGAGTAATAACTGCCACGACCACTTCCAATGAATCTCAACTCATTGCCACATGCAACTAACACGTCATGTTTTATATCTGCATGAGTTCCTATAAAGTCGAAGATGTTAAATGTAAATATAAGAGCTATGAAATAAGGAAAAAAAAAACATGTTTAGAATATTAGGAAAATATACAATTTATCAGCGGAAAAGAAGGGTTGGAACTTCAAAATTATAATTTCGGTATATTAAACAAGTTGCAACCAAAATACAAAATATATAGTCAACTGACCCAACCTTCGGTTGAATCTTTTACTTGGAAGGTTTGGGAAGTAGATGTAAAAGACCCATCACTAGAATGTGAGCCATTTGAACGTGGAACAGGAGTCCGAACACCATGATCAGGCCTATCCTTATTCCTTGTTCGTCTTTCCAGCTTCTCAGTGTGGATACCCTGAAAATCATTGCCAAAAACCTTATCCCCAGAAGCTCGACTTGAATCCTTCTGAAACGACTGAAAACTTGGGGGTCGAGGAGGTCTTCTATCCCTGTCCTGATTTGGGGCGTGGATTTGCATTTCAGATTGAGATACACATGCTGATTGATTTTGACAACTATCCCTATCAAGAAGAATGCTCCTGATGATCCTTCCACCAGTTTTGCGTCGCAAGTTCTGATGAACAACAATTAGTTATGTCAACGAGCCAAGCCGAGAAAAAAGCTCAGGCTCGGCTTGAGCTTTTTTCGGCCCGAGCCGAGCCGAGACGAGCCTGGCCAAAAAATAAAAATGAGACTCGGCCCGAGCTTTTGACCCTAGTCTTAGAGGACTGAGCCGGGCACGGGCCAAGCCGGCTCGGGTTTTTTTTCGATCTTTTAACCTCGACCACTTCCTCTTCTTCGATATCTTCCAAATCAATTGGAACATTTTGAGATGTATCGTTCCCCAATGAAGTGCTCGAACTACCTTTAAACTGATTAATTTCACCACTAGTAAAATCCATGTGTAAGTATTATAGTAAAGAATATTGAAAAATAGAGTAAAAGAAATTGGAGAGTAAAATACTGAATATTGCGTAAAGAAATTTGAGAGTATAATACTGAAATTGAATATTGCGTAAAGAAATTTAAGATAGATTGATATGAATTTGTAAAAATTTTCCGTATTTATTGACAAAAAAAATATATCCGTTTTAACTATATTTAATTTACAAATTCAAATTTTGACAAGACAATTGTATGAAAAAATGTTACAAATCTAATTTTGTAATTGTGTCTGCGTGCACGCAGCTAAATTGTAGCTGCCTGTGC